GCACTAGCCATGGTACGAGTGGAGCGGGCTCAACAGTTGCAGAAGAAGTATCACGACAAACGAAGTGGAAACCAGAACTTCAAGTCATTCAAGGAAGTTGATTGGGTGATGCTCTTTGATGCAATTAGATACAAGAGAGCTAGGAAAAAGTTTCTTCCTAAGTATTTTGGACCTTTCATTGTTGAGAAGGTGTGGAGAAACTTTACTTATGATATCAAGGAGTTAGGAGGACGTCACTTCGATCGAGTCAACCACGACAAGTTGAAATTATTCCATCGAAGATCAGATTCTTTCACTCCGAGGGCGTAGAGAAATCTTGGTCCGGGGGTAAATGTAAAACCAGACATTGCATGTGTGAAATAAAACTAGAATTGGCCAAGGAGTTAATCATGGTTAAGATAGTTATGACTAAGTCTAGCTAGTTTAGCTATAATGTCTATACTTGGCGGAATAACTAGAGAAGTTCTAGAAGATTTGAGTGAGCACTTCTATTTTGTCTTGTACAAAAGTATAGATTCCAAGAGAAAAGACTTTTGAACTTCATGTTTAGTTTTGATTGGTTTGACTAAAGTAAGGAGTATTCCATTGGTTAGACTAAGTCTAATGTTGACTTGGTGGAAAGTGGAAGTTCTAGAAGTGGGAAAGGCACAAATAACATGTCGCCACCTCAATCTAGGGATTAGTTAACATCTAGAAGGTTTAGGGGGCCAATGGCATGTTGCCACATATTGATAACTAGTCAACCTTACTATGGTTTATCTTCGTAAAAGTAAGTTAGATAGAAATTACCATTTGTTACTATGGTAAATTCTCAAGTAGTATATATAGAGAGGTAGAGAAGAGCCTCTCAAGCAAGTTTGGAGAGTTCATATGTAGAGACTTGTTTCATATATGAAAGAGTGACGAATTTTCAGTACCTTGGAGTGTCAATGAGTGTATGAAATGGAGTGATACCTTGAGAGATTGTGTGAGAGGGTGTTTAGGTTATGAGTATGATGCGGAATCCTAGTCTTCTAGAATCATGATGAGCTACCGAAAAGCCATCTGAGGTAAACCTGAGTGAGAGTCAGCCCGGAGGTTGCAGAACAATGTAGACGTTGAGTATGGGTCCTCAACCGTATCCTCACGTATCCCGGCACTCTCACATCTCACATCTCCCACGCTCACACGACGTGGCTGCTACCCGAAATACTCGAGCCAAATCAATACCATAGTCCATCAACTCCGTGGCTGAAAACAATGGAAATCACAAGACAGAAGTGGTCATCCGCATCACTGCACTAGATGGCACATCTGCGTCCACAACAGATGATGTAAGAACCTCAGTTCTCACTCCAGTGTCACTAGGCGGTGCATGTGTTATAGATGAACTGCTAGTCACCTCTGACAATAAAAAGGACTGGAGAAGTCTAGACTGACGTCCACCCTCACCCCTCTTAGGATCCAACTCCACAGTCGCACCACGTGGCTCTGAAGCGCGAGCACCACCTCTAGTCACTGCAACTGATGCCTCAACCTGTGCTGCACTAGCCAAATAGTAGAAATACTCTTCCTCGTAAGATGTGGAAGTGCTCACCCCCAGACTAGCCATAGTAGCAAGCCTCTACTCCAACTGCTCAATCCGAGCAGCCATAGCGCTCTCTGTGGCGGAAGTAGCACTCGCTGCGGTATGCTCAATGGCACCAGTACCTCTGCCACCTTTGCCTCGTGGAGCATCACCACCACGACCTCTACCTCCAGATCTCAACTTAGGATGAAGGTCAAAACAACGCTCTCGAGGGTGACCCGGTCGATGACAATGATCACATGTCACCTGTGCCGGTTGTGGCCTAGCTTGTGGAGTTTGTCCCCCTCTCTCTTGGGGATAATCCTTCCTCATATGACTACCTCCGCATGTCCAACATGACGGTCACTGTGGCTGGCCCGAAAATGAAGGCAGTGGTGGCCGCGCACTAGGCTTACTGTGACTTGAAGGATGTCGTGTATGATCTCCACGACTCCCACTACCACCACCCATGGGGCGAGACTGTGCTGTGCTATGTGGGATACGCGAAGTAGTGGTCGTGTCCTTCGCAAATGTAGAGGTCACCACCCTTTCCTCCACCATGTTAAGCTCATTTTTCTCAGAAAGAGCAAACACATGGGCTAATGTGGGTGATGAGTCGCTCATGAGAGTAGCATCACGCACTCTCTTCCGCAACTCTCTGACCAGAATCCGATACAAGTACTAGACAGCCTGTGCCTCAGTCACACCGTGAGTAACCAAGATTAGCCGTCGTATACGAGTGTATGTCTCACGAAGACTCTCACCAGTCTTGCGTTCAAACTCCTGGAGTCTCCTCAACTTCTCCGTCTTCAACCCCTAATAATTCTTCCTCAATCTTTGGAAGAACTCAGGAATGGGGCTAAACGAAGGTACGCCACTAGCATCTCCCCTCGTGCTGCCACCGGCAATGCTAACAGTACCGCTGCTGGTACTAGTACCAATTGCGCCAACTGCTCCACTGGTACTCTCGCTGATGCTACTACTCGCACCTCCACTAATGCCGATACTCGCACTTCCACTGGTACTCACCCCACCCTGGGTAATGGATAAGTAGTTCGGAGACCAAAGGCGCCTCCATGCATCAATCTCCGCAGCACAATCCCTCCCAAACTCATGATAATCGTCCATGGAAGACACCTCCAAATGCTGGAATAACTTCTTTCACGCAAAGAAGGGTGTAAACAACGTGGGGTTATGCAAAAACAGCATATCACACCACGTGTCGAACTCCTGAATAAAGTCATCGAGCTCGATGGTGCCCACTGCACCAGAATAACGTCGAGGGCCCTTCACGGCCCCGTACATCCCGTCCATGTCCCAAATCAATGGGGTTGGAACACCGGATGATATCACCACCGAAGACTCTGTGTTTGCAACACTTTGGTCCTCCTCCGCAACAACTGGCGATAATAGGTGAAGGTAGCCGATACCTCAACCCACTCCGCGTAAGTCTACCGCGGTCCTCTACAGGACCACTAGACTGCTCTGTGATGACAAAACCTCAACTGACAACACTGCCAGATCTCCACCCAATAGCCCTATCCGCTCCTTACGTCGTGCCGCACTGAGCTACTCTAGCCCTACTAGCTAAGAAGTATGGACAATCTAACCTGTCATCACAGCAAGAAGACTCTCACGGTTTATTGGTCATCAACTAAGTCTCACCTTGAGAGAAACATAGATAGGTCGGCCGGTGATCAAGTCCAGCCCCCTATCGACAGCACACAGGAGTAAAACTACTCCAAAAATCAGCGTCACCCCTACACGGGCGCGCACCAAGAAGCGAGACTGGAGAGTATCCAAACACAAGCAAACAGCTAGCAATGACTCTCCAGTCTAAAGGAAACACAACACAAAACAAGACAACACACACGAGACATCGTATCGCTTCGCGATCCCGATTCGATCTCCATCGCCACTGTCACCTTCCGCCTCCAGCGCCTAAAATGACTTCACGTTCACCAAGTCGCGTAGAGAAACTTCACGGTCACACTCCACCTTAAACTAAAGACTATAGCAAGTGAGACCGGATGCAAATTTCCGGCCTCTTCAAATGAGCTTCTTATAACTCTGAACCCCCAAACTCTTCCTTTTTTCTTTTTTCTTTTTCACAGCTTGCCACTACTAGAATATCTCTGTTTACTGAACATGCCTAATGGATACATACTCTTTGCATTCAGCCAGCAATTTTGAGTACATATTTTCAAATACTGGAAATATATACTATATTTCACTATGATACTTAGATCCCATAAATATATACTCTATCTAACTGTGAGTGCTCTTCACATTACTTTCCTGGTCGGCTTCACATTACTAGCATCATTGGTGCTACTATCTGAACTCAAACTCTACCACTCTGTTATCCAGATTGAGCTTCTAGCAAAGAAAAGTAATGAGTTGTAATATTCATATGTCTCTGTCCAACCTGTAACACTTTATACTGCTAGAGGGACCCCCTCTTTTGGACCTGTAGACTCTTCTAAATTCAATGTTTCATAAGTTGGACACCCAATTAGCTAATATTCTTCCTTCCCTAGAATATACTAGAGAGTGTCATCAGGATTTAGACTACCCTACACATAAGAGTACAGTATAAACGAAAATAGCAGTTGTAAACAACTATTTCTCTGAGTTACTGTTCAACCAGGTAGTCACTTATCTCTTCACAACACAATCGCCACATGTTTGCATGCTTGTAATAACAATAAGCAAACCTCTCTTTTACATAACCTAACGTATGAAGTGGTGTATCACCTAGAAGCTAAGATCTAGGTCGATGGGTTCTGTCAACATCATGTGTTTGCTTGTTTGTTTTTTTTTTTTCGAAATTCCTGAAATTTCAAAACCGGGTACATCAACATACTATACTAGGAATAATTTTTCAGAATGGGAAAGTACAGTTCACAACCTTTTTGTACTTTCTAAATTCTGGATGGTGAGAGCATCAGTACACTTCTCCCGTACATCTCGCTTTGCGCATAAAAAATCTCCTTTGGTGTTGTAACTTATTCCTCCGATTGGTTCTCCTTCACACCAGCAGTCAATTGGAAATGTCCTGTCCCGACTTTTTCACTTTGAAACAGTCCCTGAAAAGTTTTGAATTTTTAATTCAGATCTTTACGTCCACTTGCTTTCCGAAGAGCTTGCTATCTCTTCTTTGATCAGAGATGGACTCGAACGACCTTCTAGCACCAGTTTTCAACTTTAATTCTACCGCAAGGAGCAGCCTGCATCACATCGACCTGCTCTACGTATCAAGTCCTCTACCAACATCCCGTTCCCAACCAGAACTTCCACTGATTCCTCTGTTCACCGCCAAGAGCTGAGACAAGGATCAGCAGTTGAACACAAGTTAAGCTCCCGGAGGAGAGGAAAAAGGCGATTTAAGCTTTCTTCCTCAAATCCCCCTTGCCCGATTACACGGACCTGTTTTCTACTCAGAAAAGAAGACTCAAAACGAGTTCATTTCCAAGAGATATCTGCGCTGCTTGGCAAGAATGCTAGCAGCAGTATGATATGGCTCATCAAATGTTCCGACCACAAACACTTCTGACTCCTTGCGAGCAAGCTAGTCCTAATTTCTACCGAAGTCGCTTCTTTCAAACCTGTCCGCCTGGAAGTTCTAAGTATGGTGCATACCATAGCTTCACGTTCAATGCAGGAACTTGAGTCCTATTAGAAGAAGCAGAGGCAGCGAAGGGCTTGTCCCGAAACTCTTACAGCTGCTCTTTGCTTATGCAGAGCATACCCTGGCCATCGGCATCCGTGAATACCAAACTTTCTAGAGTAGGATGGTCAAAAATGATGTGTTGAAGAAGATAGTGTCGAGTTGAAGCGCCGCTCAAAGAGCTGATGGTCCAAACTACTCTTAACTTCATGCCTTCATCTGTGAAAAAGTATGCATGGATACTCCTGCTATCATATGGCTGCATGCGGATCAAACTTTCGCCGATCCTGCTTCCGTCTGTTCTAACCTGCAAGCACCCTGGCTTATTGGAGCCATCAGACTTGCTTCCCTTCTTTTCGACCTCGGTTCCCTTCACTAACGAGGCAGCGCCTAGAATTTCACAACTTTGCAAAGTGTTTCCGAACTCTGTCTTCCACTTCCACAGAACGCCCTCTTCGATGCCAAGCTCGCCGCTTGTCAATTCTATTCTGAGATTTTGATTTTCTTTGAAGTTCTTCAATACTTCTCCGGGAAAGTGATGAGATACTTCTGTGGTGAGAATCGCCTTCTTCAAGCAGGTGAGTGCAATCTTCTCATGAAATCAAAACGCTGTCCTTAAATCGACTCTCCACCGCACGAGTCGTAATTCATCTGTAGGGCTGCAGTGCTTCTGCTCCCGACTGCAAAATACCCATGAGAAATCGACCGCTATTCGCACAGAAAATAACATTCAGTCCCCATCTAATCAATTGTGACGTAAACCATTTCAGTGACTGTAGACACTGTCTACAGTCTGCACACCAGCCGATTGTCACTCACAACTGCCCTTCTTGTTCATCTACAAACTTTTTGAAGGCTTGTACAGCAATTTACTCTCGAGACGCTTCTCATAGATGTTCGTCAATTCCCAGCTTCTGCAATTCCAACAAACCCTGCTTCACATTCACGATATCAAATTTTTTTCACTCCACGTTCTGTTTAATACTGAGGGACCATCGGCCATCCGCAATTATCCTCGAACAAAGTAACTTCCCTACCAAATCTAAGTAAATCACAGTTTCCAGAAAAAGACATCAATACTTGACAAGAATACAACCAAAAATTGTCAACTGTGACGATTTCAACGAAAGTGAGTTCTTCGAGTAACATAAACGGGAGATTCCCCACTGGAATTCACTTTGGTCGTTTACCTTACTTGCAAAACCGTCACCGTCACAAATATAGTCAAGCCAAACCCACTCCACACTTGGAGATTACATGTCGATGCTCTCGGGCACTACTCCCAACGCGCTAGGCTTAACTCGAAGAACTGACGTTCTTCGAGCCGTCCCAACTGTATACCCCTTGCGACCCAAACCCTAAGCTCGACACTATTTTTAGCAAAACACCGAAAACTACATGACATTTCTGATTATTACATCTATACTAGATTCATGTTGTAGATGGATGAAGATATAGATTTGAGTAAGTTGGTGAAACCTTGCTAAAGCTAGCTCTCTGCACTCTCTCCTCCAGCATCTTGATACACTCAATGAAACTGAATACAATGTGCATAGTAGAGGTTCAACTACGTTGTCAATTCTAGGTGATCTTTCTTGCACTAAGATAAAATATAATGCTCTATTTCTTAGATCTTCTATACCACAATTTAACGGCTTAAGAGTAAGTCATGTCATGATGAGAAATTCATCCACTAAAAATCACATCATGAGTACATGGGGGTACAATGGGCGTCATCCAACTTGATGACGCCCATTTCACCTAAATATTTTTTGGCATATTTGATGGCCTCATAAACATCGTTCATTTTCAACCAGTATGGTGCAAAAACACCCTCCAAGTGATCAGGAATCTCAACTTTCTCACTCACACATACCAAGTCAAGATTTTCAGTAGTTCGTATACGTAGAATAAACATCACACTTTATTCGGAATGCATAAACTATTATCTAAATTATTACTCCTCTATAAACTCTACAAAACTTCATAGTGACATCAATGCATTATCTCTGTAACCATACAACAACTGCACTCCATGTACAGTATCCATATCGAGCAAAATGTATCGCAGTCACCACAGTGTGCTAACTCAAGGTTTGTATGTTAGCAAACACAATCTGAAAAATGTGATTATTACAGTGACTCATTTAGTCTCACTTGAACTCTAAACCCTTAATCACTCAGGTAAACCCTTACTCACAGGGGATAAACGTGGATAGTGTGACAAGTACAAATCCAACCTCACTATCGGAGGCTCACAAGAGCAGAACAGTATTTTCAAAAGAACATCAATGACAAAAGCCTATAAGCACAAGGGGCTAAGCCCACTTTAGAGATTTCCAACAAATTTTCTGCACTTGAAAATTCGAAATTTGATATAAAAATTGACACAAATGTACAATAGTGAAAATCCATCAAATTTATTCACACCGACTTTTATTCTAGATCTTCACCTTCACTTCATGAACACCTCTACAGTTTTGCATCAATTAGATCCAAAACGAATAAGAAGAGTTTTGGAGATGGTTATCCATTATGAGCCAAATTCAAACTCTGGCTCTGAGACCTAACTCTCCTGAAAACACTGTCTACATAACCAAGAAATCCACTACGAAACTTATAAGCCTAATGAAAATTCTACTATCTAACATCTACATCTTCTAAACATACTGACTCCATAATCGATAAATCCATTGCGAAACTATTGTGCCTAATGCCAACTCTCACCCAACTACCTAAATCTTCAAACAACTTTGTCTAGATTATCAACGATTCCACTGCAACGGCATAATCTTTTCCGTATCTACCTTTGCACAGAGTATTCACCTTCTACTGCTCATGTCGTTTGCAATCGTGAAGGAGGTTTTAATTCAAGACCAGACACCGCGATCAACTCCATATCGTGTCTTCGAACCAAAATGTTTCCCTCAGTGGTTTTCTTGACCCACACGTACAGCTTTTCTGTTGCCTACTCGAGCTCACTTGCTTTGAAGGTATCTCAAGTCCCTGCTGGGTATGCTTTGGGCTCCATGATCAGACATCAATCTACACCTGATCTTTCTACAACTTTTGCCCGACCCTCCAATGGAGAACAGAATTTCAAAACTGAACACAACGCCTGTGTATTGAACGACTGAGGTCGGTAGGGTGGTAACCATCTCAGTTCGCGAGTAGGAGATCAGTTCAAAAGATGAGACAGTACCATACGACCTCACTTGTACTGCTAAGACTGTCTGCCGTAATGGATTGTAAGCAAGATACGTCACGTGCAAAAGATTCCATAGGCTTAGCAATAGATCATGTGCATATGTACTGCTTGGACAATGCTGCAGATAATCACTATTGAAATCCTTACTTCGATGCGAAATCCACTGAGGTTAATTCTCAGTTGCAAATCACCGAACTTTGTAACCAACTCATTCTTGCAACTCTTAAATTGTACTGAAACAAACCACACAGTTTCCACACATTCCTATTGCAAAAAAAATTCCCACAGGAATTCATGTTCCCCTCGCATCATAATTATTCCAATGTGCTTTTGAAAGACCAAATGAAGACAAAAAGTGACTTGATATAGAAAGGGTTCATACACATTCAAACTTTCATAGGAATTTCAGGTAAAGTAACGCTGTGTATTCTTCCTGAGAGAAGAAATTTGTGAGCTAGTAAACAAACTTCCATTCTCCCCGTTCAACTCTAGACGACCGCCTCCGTGCCAAGCTGTGTGCATGAGACATCAAATCCGAGGGAACAATAGTATGTAATAGTTCTACAACTTTCGGTGGGGCGGCACTCTGAGATTGAACGTAGTAACTTGTCTGTAATTTACAGACAAGTTACTTCATATCATATAATGCTTGACCAGTACTTGAGGAAGTGCATCAGTCGCTCAGTCAATCAGAGAGCAACCTCGGTATTAACATCCGCACTTGATACACCAAAACTGGGCATCTGATCTTTTGAATAGTCAGGCCACTCTAGAGGTTCAACACGAAATAAGTCTTCAAAGAGCTAGTTTCTTGAAGTTCACGAGCAGCAACACTAAGCTGTACGAGCGTCTGGTATGAGTAGCTGTTTACGAGCAATTCCCGATCATTATCGGAAAGAATTGATAAGGACCAGACGTGACAGCTTATTTCCGAAAGGTTACCTGATGCAAGTGGTGAGAACTATCTGAGTAAGCTCTCCTTTCCCTGAAGGTTGTCTGCAGCTGTTGCTGATAAAGGGCTGCATTAGCTGATTCCCCAGAACTTCTCTGGAGCAGACAGGTCACGAGTGGAAGATTCAAGTAAATAATTTTCACGCCGGTCTGTCTCTAGGACTGGCCAAATACAGCGGTGATATGCTCCACTGAAAACCTGTCCACTCAGCTGCATAAAGTCTGTCAACGACCTCCATCTTACAAGGGAAAAACGGTACCTTCGGTTATTTCCTCTGCGCTTCGTCCACAATTCACTGTGACAATGCTCCACCTGAGACAGCACACAAATAGAGTCCTCCGAGAAGAAAAGAAGCTGCAGACGTGTATACACTGCCTTACACGTAAAGCCTGTCACAAAACTTGCTACTGCAAGTACAGTTCCCCTCAATAATATTTCCGGGAAAGGTAGGAGAAGCTCTCTGTTGTAAAAGAGAACTCCTCTGACTACTCCTAGATCGGGGCAGCAGATATTCTCATCACAAAAACGAGAAAAACAGACTTGGTTGGGGATCATCCCTCGTCCACCAATAAACACGGTACCATACCAGTATCCACCATTCCGTTGATCAGAACGTTTGACTACGCCCAGCTAACTAGAACACGAGATTACTGCTTTCCTGAGTTAAAGCAGAAACTCCCTCATTTGAAGACAAGTTCCACGGAACAAACTACCACACTAGAGTGATTTACAATTACCAACAGTTGAATCCAACTTCTTTCTAACCGTCTTTTATCACAGTATCATAAAGCCCTGATCGGACTTATATCACGCCGAATATCACCACATATCAAATGTCAAATTCGTACAAGATGAGGGCATGGAAGGTCCACGTGACGCGACACAAGGTACATCTAGGAAAGGGCTCCACCTTCTCCCCTGTCCAGATCCTAACATTGAAGAACGACCAATGTTTTTTCGTGGAAACCTAACTTAGTGTCCTTCCCGCCTCCGATTATAGAGTTTCCTGCTGCTGCTGGCTCAAGACAGCAGGAACCATGCCCAGTAAGTCCTCAAAAGCCTCCAAACTGGGGAATCGGACTAACGGCTCAGTCCCATCGCCCATTGGTGCATCCGGTAGATCCGCAAAATTCAATAAATCATCTTGCGACGTTATTAAGGTGACAGCCGTAACACCAGAAGCTGGCGATCCTTCTTGTCCAGAAACAGTATGCTCTAGAGGAGCGTCAGGTACAACATCCATATCGACTGATGACGTACCACTGCTACTACCAGAAAGAGGAGGTCCTTGCGAAGATATCTCCTTCCCTCGCACCTCCTTGTCATCAGCCTGGGCTTGACTTGAAGTGGGATCCACACAGTCCTGCGCCTTGCGACCTCGAATGATCTGCCCACAGAGCAATGTCTTAGAATGGTGAAACTATTTGCGTTACGACACATGCACTACACCAATCTGGTTCAAGACCAGTTTCATCGCTTGATGGATTTACTCGACTTAACACACAAATTTGAACACCATGACAGACGTAAGAAAACATGGAAATGCAAGTACTTCAGAGTGTACGCCATATTACGTTGGACATCCCACTTTGGGAGAAAGAAACGAAACGAAACTACAAACTTGGGCATCAGTACCTACTCTCAAGGTTGTTGTCATCTATGAGGACGACAGATGTCACTTGCGTGTTAGTTAGAAGACTGCGTCTCGTCACCAAAAGTGAGGTAACGATTCATATGCAACCATGAATATTATTAGCTGATGCAGAAGGGTCTAACTTCGCATAAAGCATTGTTAACAAACTTCAATCATGATCAATTCCAAGCATTCAACCAGTGAGAAAATAAGCAAACCCAGCTTTCCGTGGAGGCAGAGTGAGAGAATATGTCAAATATGAACGACCACTTGAAAGTCGATCCAGAGCCTGAGAAAATCGTTTACTATGTATGTACTGAACAGTCCAAGGCCAAACGAAATGAACTTCTCTAATAAGGAAAGTCAACAACAGTAAATGCAACTGGGGGCGGTAACGATTATCAAGACGATGGACTCATCAGTGTAAACCCGGGTGTATAGGTTTCTACCCATCATCGCGCCAGGTGATTCCCTAATTTGCATAAATTATATACTCAACAAGCTACCACCAGAGCCCAGAGGGCGCCATTGAAAAAGCCTAACAGGCAAGCCTAAGGGGTGCAAACTTGTGTACATAAAAAGTGAAGACGGACAGACAGTACCAACTACGACAGCATGAACCATGCATTCTGCGGCTGACTTCCAAAACTAAATCACTGCGGACATAAACACTTCTGCCACGGGCAGAAGTGTTTCTGCCCTTTAAACAAGCTGAGCTTTCAACGGATTGGGCAGAATTATCTGTACAGGTTTCACCTTCACATGCATGAACATGAATCACAGGAGTGTACACAGCCAATTATTATCTCCTCCAGATTATATTTTCCTCACAAAGGATGAAATGAGAAGAGGAGAGCAAAGAGCGGTAAACTAAACGTTTCACGCGATACAACGACATCAACACACAAAATCATCAGGGCGCGAATAGTCATATAACCTGTTTCAGAAGTTGCGTAGAACGGACACTGCATCCTCTCAATCGATGAGAGAGGTGCCATTTTTCCTCGAACGAGTAGCTTAACCGGAAGGTGCGAATGATTAGACACATTCATACTAGGATAATTTTTGACACAGTCATTAACAATGACAAACAACGACCGTCAACGATTACAATAACCACTCTAATTTAGAAGCGCAACAGAACTTGATTAACATTAACGCAATGAGAGGCATATGTGTACGACATTAAATAAACGGTATGATAGTGTGATAGACTTTCAGAGTGTTACATCGTCAGACAAATGAAAACAAAAGAGTATGAGCAACTGCAACCCGTTTCAACAAACAAAAGAAGATTCACCTGACTGAACAACTGTATTGCTACTGAATCAACTGTGGGTATCTTACTACAAATTGGGCATTGTCTCAAACAGGTAGACGAACCTCCCTTTGTAACGTCTGCGAAGTGAATGGCAAATTAACTATGTGAGCGCACATGTGAAATGCAAGTCTTAAAGGAATGAATATCATGTACAACTGAACAAAGGAGTTCAGCAGTATCAGAAATCCATGAGTTATGCAAGTAAAAGGTGTTGGTATCACGCGTCTCTGGAAGTAAGTGGATGACTTCCAAGCAAAACAGAGTAGAATCTAGCAACAACGTGCTAAATGATCAACATGACTCCAGAGAAAATTCTTCGATGAACTACGGAAGGACAGAAATGTTATACAAAAAGTGCCAAAGCCCCACTTTCCTTGGAAAGACCCAAAACAGGTAACGATAACAAAAATTTGTGCAGGCAACTCATATTCCAAGTGAAAAAATGACGACAGGGGTTACAAACCGCGATAATAATTCTCGACTCCTGAATGCAAGTTACTTGGTTGACAATGAGTATAACGTTGCGTCCACGAATGACTAACCCAAAACAAGATACTATAACACCATCAGTAACCGTACACTCATATCACTTACATAATCCCTAAAGCAAGCGTCACCCCACAAACTGAACAAATGTATACAATCAATTAGTACCTACACTAGAGAAAGTTACATCGCGCAAACACAGACGCGTCGCGTCCTGAAATAGTGAAGATGGATCACAGCCGCTGTAACTCCAGAAGGAGAGGGAAGCTTCTAGGAAGAGTTACCGTATTTCAAAGCATGCATCTAGGTCAAGTGGCAAGTTCCAAGAGGCGACTATAAACAACTTACAAATACCGAAAATTGGAGACACTGATGCTGCTTGAAATGCGACTCGATGCAGTTTCTGATAGACTATGATGCACATTTATCAGCCTTCTCTCAAATGATAATCAAGAAGGCAGAAGAGACTCACGAAAGTATCGTCCTGTACATTCTTATATATCATCAATCGGTCTCCTTCTTCAAGATTGTGTTTTTTGACGAACTCGCCTGCAGCAGAACATTACACTATAAATCACAGGATCAATCTGCAGACTGGAACCGACAACTTTGCTACTAAATATATAAAACAGCAACAAAATCAGAGTTTCTAAGTGGAACAGAGCGAACAGATACCTACCAGTATTTTCCAGTAAATACATACGGCTCTTGTTGTTGGGCCAGAACCTGAAAAGAAAAGTGACTCTCAGTGACTAGAGGCAGTGATAAATCCAAGTTTGTCAATCTCGATTGTATTATTGAAAACTCATACCTTTACATATTCCACCTACAGTTATTTGTTGATTTGCTGAAATTACTTTCCGAAAGCAGAATGAAGTAAGGATATACCAACCGGTATCTGAGATTTAATTTATCTCCGGTATCAAAGTCTTCGCAGGGGAATGGAATTCCTTCCCTCGCTCCTAGCCACGGTAAGTGGCTTTCGGCGTCTTTCTGCGTTATGGAAGATACATCTTAAGCAGGGAAGTATACAAAAAAAGATAAGTGCCAGCGCTTGCCATCCACAAGATAAACATAAATCCATCACAACTGACAGAACCGTTCTTCGGTAAAAATGAGAAGTATCACAAGCTGTGGCAACTAGCAGTCTCGACTCCCCTTGTCCCTCACAGCATCAAGTAACAACAATCCTGGCGACTAAAGTAGGATAAATTATAAAGCTATCAGCAGGCGAGCCAGACAAAATAGTAAATGATGAAGGGCTTAGCGTGAAAGAGACAGCAACAGAAATCTGGGTGATATGCCCTAGAAGTGCTGACGACATGTGCTACATAGCATAAAACAAGAAGACCATAATAAAAGTAGGACGTGTCGTGCATGAACTGGAGCTGTAAGAAAAGGAAAGACAAACGGATGCATCAATACGAAGAGCGGAGGGAGTGAAATAGCTTTAACGACATAGAGGAGACCGGCTGTCAGTGGACATAAACGGATACCGTGCCCACAAAGACCGACTCTAGATGCAAACTCTGCACCTACACTCTATGGTCACATACAGTATAGGTGCAATTAAAAGTACATTGATCCTAATTTTCAAACTTTCAAGTACATTATTCCTAATTAGGAAGATATTTTAAGACTGGCCCGACAACTGCGCAATATGCTCTGGACGTAAATATAACGAACCACATTCATGTGCTTGAAAGTGAATGAGACGTGCCAACTTTCTCCTCTCACCACTCGCATAAGAGATAAGAATAAAGACCAAACAAGAAAAGATGGCATAAGGCAGGGATGTACGGTTGCGAAACACCAGCATGCATAGATTGCGGTGCACCAGGAAAGGCCAAAACCTCTTCTAAAGCTCCTAACTCCTGACGTTCGCTACATGCCTGCACAGGGCCTACTCTTGTCCTGATGTCAATAAAAGAGAATGGACATGTTCGAACCTTTGGAAGAACTATTCGGCCAAGATTGCCGACATCGCTTGGCTTCAACATCTTTTGGAGCAGATATTGTAAACGGTCCATATCACGTCGGTCCTTCACCCGTGTCTGCAGTCAAATCAAATGGCATCAGCCAAAAATACAAGGTGGTAACAAGTGAATAAAAATCTCCGTGCGCAAGAGACAACCATCCAAGGCTAGACACTTAAACATTATATATGACCTCTAACCTTCCCTACACTCTAGAGTTCGAAAACAGATCTGCCTAGACCGAGGAAGAGAGTCTTTGCGCACATGCCTACGAAATGAAAGTTGATGCTCTGATCATGTTTCTACAGAATAATTTGCGTGGGGTGTGAGTTAACTGACCAAGTTACGAGACTCGCTGACCCATGCAATTGCTAAATCCGACAATCAGCCGGTCAATGTAATTAGTGGGTACTACTAAGTAAGTACGCTTCTAGTTCAGCCAAGCAAAACAAGGATGATTTGAAAGAAGCAGAGAGGCCAAATAAGAATCGGTTTTTAATCAGAATTCATCAATTCATACGTCTGCAATAAATTGTAACGGTTGGTAGAATCTTGCTATCTCAACTCCATGAAAGAGATTCCATCCAAATACGAGCTATACTCCTGATGAAATTTCAGTGATATACAAATCAAAAAGGCCCAGTGAAACAACCCCACAAGTCAAAGTGTAGAGACCTGGGAACGAATGAGGGTACTAAAATATATAATGACTGTTTTCTCCAACAAAGGGCCCACTTTGACAAGACTGCCAAGATAATCTTTATAAAGAAGGCGAATCAGCTATGAAGTAATTATGATATTTTCTAGCTAAGCACAAAGGCTCATAAGAAGCTTTCCGTAATGACAAAAGACGTTCTGGGTAAATTTCCAAGATAGAAATTTCCAACTCCAGGCTCTGCCAAATTCCCATAACTGAATTCAGCTCGAAGACAGCAAACATGCAGTAGGGAATTTCCAAATGTAGACAGACCGTTCCGAAGATGCTAAGACTGAGACATACACAGCTATTTTCTCAAACAATCACAAAAGAGATGCGTGCTAACCTTGCGAGGGTATTCGATTTTTTAAAATCAAGAAGTGATGCGGGAAGGTATATGACATCGAAGAACTTCACAACACGTAGCGTAATCTTCGGGAAAGGAGAGACATGGTTACTTTTCATAGTAAGAGGGGCGTACAACAGGGAATGATATAAATCCCCTTGACTGGTGCAGAAAGAAGCTAGTTTGTGGTGGTTGATATTGTAAAAGTATTGATGTCTACTTCAATTGACCAGTTTACACTCTTCCATTGGTTCTTATTTCTCTCAGTGCAGTACGAGGAGACCGGCTTGGACGGAGGCTTGGACGGAACCATGGCTATAGAGCAAAGATTTTCGTTCGAAGGCCAATGCAAGTTCTCCAAGCGCCAGAAAGAACTCCCCTATCGAAGAAGTCCCCAATCGAAGAAGTATTATAATGAAGATAAAATTCTATTCGATATCGTTCTAGATATGAATAAGCGCAGGCGTCTAACCAAGGCGGGGTGTGCACTCCACTTGAGTCATGAAGCCGCAACGTTTCCCGCTATACATCGACTACTAGTAGTTACATATTGTGCAGCAGACACACACATCTCAATCCAAATTTCACAGCCAAAACATGGACACAATTTGAACATGTTGGGAAAACTGAAACAAGGAGTGACAAAGAGACCTAACAATGGGCCAACCTCTAACAAAATCGTAGGGAAGAACACTGAGTGGGAATCCTGTGGGTTACCTGTCCCTCTCCTCCAGGGAGAGTTTGAGAATGAGGCGTGCGTAAAGCTCCGGATGAGGGCGCCCACCCACTTCCAGTTACTCCTACACCAGGAGCTCCACTTTGTGTAGAACGAGTAGGATGGAGAGAGGCAGATCTCCTGTTCCGATCCATTCTATTCTTTCGTGCCAGTCGAGTATGCGCAGCAGGAGTAGTCTTGCTCTTCCCTACAAGTCCCAATCGAGCCCCTGACTGCTCACGCTCCATTGTACTGTCGGTATACATAGCAGCAGTGCCCCCAATAGTAGCCTCGTCAATCAAACTAGTTCCTTGCATTCCAAAGGAACTGAAAGTGCCCATGTCCATAGCGTGGTGGTCCAAACTCGGACTAGAGGGGCTGATACTAAAGGGACCACCTGGAGCAAAGGGATTGTTGGAGAACCCCATGACATCGGGAAGAGATTGGGAAATACTCGAGTACGCTGGAACGTCACACGAACTCGTAGACGAACTGCCCGATGGAGAAAGCCGTCTAATCTTGTTTCGGTGAAACTGGGTGTCCTCGTAGCCCAAGTCCGTAGACAGAGTGACTCGCTCAGGAGAAGGAGAAAGCCTGCGAATCCCAAGTCGATGCTGGCGTTCATCTGTAATAAAAGTCTGATGGCTCCACCCTGCTACAAGCGACGGCTGGACATCCAATAAAGACCCTGAACCCTGTACTCCCAGTTCCTGCACACCCATGTCATCTAGCATTCCACTCAACGCTCCAGGCTCGTTGATCGCTAACAACTGTATATCGTGATTCTTTGTTTCTGCATACTCGCCGTCTCCTAGCTTCAACTCGCCTGTACATGAGACGCTACCTGGGGCTCCATCCAGAAAAGATGAGTTCATAAGAAACTGCAAATCCCCACTGACAGTGCAACCGCTCCCATTCTCTTGGCTGGTCCCGAAGCTATTCTCCAAACTACCACCGTGGTTCCAAGGTAACTTTTCAATTTCCTCTGTGGAAAGAGGAGCCAAGGGTTCTTGGATGCTAAATTGTTCACTCGTCTGTGACGAGGTTGTGCGGCTCCTCAACCAAAAGATGATCACCTTTATCACAGCTCGTAGACCTTTCTGTCCACCGCCAAGCCTCTCTATAGCACTGCGAATAACGCTTTCCTTGATGCGAATGCCCCTCAGTTGAGCAAAGAGGTTCGCCCTCTGCTCCTGGAAATACACAGGAGTACACGATTGATTAGGAGGACCCGCGGCGTCCTCGGTCAGATCCGGTAAACGACCTGGGGACCCAGAGGGCAGAGCATCAGAAGGGGACGATGTAGAAACTTGGGAAACATTAAAGTTGCTGTTCTTCGTGCCTGAATACATCGTGTTTCCATCTACGTCCACGGAGCCTAGACTCGCCGGGTTCCCACACGGAAACGCGGCAGATGATCCAGAACGTTGTGAACTGTTGTGGCCATCGACGGGTTCATCACGAAGCCATCCTCCCGCCTCGGCTTCGGGGGAAATGCGTTGCCGTTCTTTCGGATCGTCCACCCAGGACCCTACATATTGCGAGACGTCCGCCATCTCCCTCTTAACACCGCGATGATCCGAGTGCGTTCTCGGTCTCTGGGAAAACCATGAGTTGACAGCCCGATTCTGTACATGGTCTACTGGAGCGTGACCCTCCATCGAATTAGTGCGAACTCGCCTCCGTGAGCAAAATCCTTCACACTGCACACTGTACACCCAACCTCCGAGTCAGACGGCAAGGGCGACAATCCTGGTTGAGGTTGAGATGCATCGGAAACTTTTTCGGGAGTACATCGATGTACTGTCTCTGACTCCTGTCTCCGGAAGGATGCAGGCAGTCTTTTTCGCGACAATACCTCGATGAGTGACAGGCTCGCCGGGCTTACAAGATGCCTTCTCCTCCCACACGAAGCATCCCTAACGGTGATTGCTTCCACCCCATTCCTACCATCACCAGGATATCGCTGTATCCAATGGCAACGACGGATGTTCAGGGAGGGCGAAGTACCCCAAGGTTTCGCAATCGAATAGAAAATTTGGAAATAAAGTCCCTATCGATGCGGCAGAGTACACCATACCCTGGAAACTATAATGGTTGGGAGGGCGAAACATGCCAGATGAGCATCCGACGGACCGGAGGGCGAGGAAAAGTGGGGAATCAAGGCCACGCACACTCGAAGACGACAAAAGGAAGTTGTTCTGCACTTGCATTTTGACGATTTGGAGGCTCTCCGCTGGTCATGTGACACGCTGATGCCTGCAAGTCCGGAGCGCCCGAAGGGCTCCAGACTTGGCGTCGGGCGCCCGAGAGCAGGCGCGAGACTGGATGAGGAGAACGGCGCCAGACGCCCTATCAAGCAGACATTCTGGGAGCGCTTCCGCTGGCAGCAAATGTCCGAACCATCGCGTCCACGTCGCCCTGCGACCCTGAGAATTATGCCGCGACCTACATGACCTCCACGTCGTCTAGCGACATAGCCCACGCCTTTCTCGTACTTTGGCGGAAAACTCTAGAGCATCCCACAGGTGGAGCAAACTGACGCTCGCCTTTTGCTTTTGCGAGCGCATACGCCCGCGACCTCCCTCCCGGGCCCATCCTCTAGCCCCAAAGAATTCGCCCCCGCCTAGGCTCGCGTTCGCAACAAATATCACGCGCCAGCCTAACCGTTCTAATTCTAATTCTTCCAAAAGCATGCCTCCGCTCTCGAGACGCCCCTGATTTTGGCCCATGCCTGCAGCAGCAGCAGCAGCTCCGGCCGTAAAACGCACGAAGCTGAACCAAACTCTTTATTGCGATCTTTGCATTTTACGATCCACTGCTATAAGGGCTCACGAAAATATGGTCGTACATACGCGAAGCAGTTCGCTGCGAGGCTCCTAATGTGGGAGAATAATAAATCACAAGATTTATTTCGAGCTTTGACAAGGCCATGCCCATATTTCCCTCTCGTATTTTCGGTCCTAATCATTACACGGCTTCTGGCCGAAAGATCTTTCTTACGAAGGGCAACTCATCGGCGACGACTAACATCGAAGTGTGTTGTTCGGTATTCGACAAAAAAACTAAAGCAAAACCTTTTGCCTGAAGGGTCCAAAACTTACATTTTTCGACTCTAGATATTTCGTCTGGTGGAGCCCCGTCTGAAACATACCTCGTCTGCAACTGACCTTGCTTTTTACCACACATGGACTTGCTCCGTCCGTATGAATTCCATTGCTGATTACGCAGTTCGGATTAGAGATACTCTTTTTTTATTGAGTTTTGTCACGAGCGTTTGCGTTAGACTTGTAGAGACTTTTCCCATACTTGACTAGTGTTACACTACAGCTAGAATCATCGTTACGTTCGGAACGGGCTGTCCAATCTATCGCCAAATAATGCAACCACATGAGCTATTCTTTTCTAGGTAAAAGAAATCTACATTACAAATTTTGTCCTTTGGATATTGTCCACTTTGATACCATTAATCTCATATTAAATCTTTGGCTTATCTCGACAAATGGTCTAAGTACAGAAACTTCTATCAATTTGTCAAGTGCATGCAAAGATTCACAATCAAGAAATTCAACAAAGTTTCAACTGATCATGATGTTCCTGATGGAACACATTCTTTAAAGGATGCAAGCATTGTATTTTTCTGAATAACTGCGAGTTTTAGATTTATATTCAGATATCTGAACTGTTTATGATTAAATAGATACATTTCAAGATAAAAAATAATTAAATTTATCTAGAATGTGGATATTGAATTTGATTTTTCATTATATACAAATCATTATAGAATTTTTAATATCCCCACTATTTTTTTCCATCATGCATGTGTCTTTCTTTCAGTATCTTTCAAAAATATATATGTTATACATCGTTCTTCAGGTAAAGAATAGTGGGTGTTAGAGTGTTTTTGTAGGCCTAATTAAACTTCAAAAGCCCACGTAGAATTCCAATATTCACGATTGACAGTGCTGTGTGTAACAGGTTGTACATATGACCAATAGGTTTAACTCCATAATTACAGTTTTCTCTTTAGTAAAACTAACAAAATATGTGAAAATAAAATTCAACATTTCATATACATTAATATTTTCTATTAGTATCATAAACAATATATCAAAGATATGTTCATATACTAATCTAAATTGCTGACTTTCTTTATCCATACATGTAAATATCTGTAGATACTACAGATATTTATATGATTTACATATTTCAATGAAGTTTATGAGTTACTTAAACATGTTATAGACATCAGCTTATTTTCCTTCTCAGATTTTATGACATATCCGTGCCAAATATAGATGAACTTGTGCTGGATCTCACAATATCTCATGTCAATATAATTTTGCTTTAAACCATAGATTAAGAGAATTCAAATCATTTTTGAGTCTTACAAATTATAAGAGTACATCTTAGTGGTTGTGCGTAAGCGTTTATTTAGTACTGATTGACTGTTGCTAAGGTAAATAGAAACCTGGTCGGATGCATTTTGTAGCTGTTCAAATCTAACATATGTGAACATGTCATGTCTTAATCAATACCAGTTGATTTTTTCATTGGTAAATAATGACATGTCATAGATAAACATGTTTACATTCATATATCTGCTGGGCTAGCTAAGTGAAATCTAAGGATTCACAAGATAGAGAGTAAACTCTTGATTCGGTATGCTTGTACAGTTTATTACAGATAACTTTTAATCCGTTGGTTTCGAACACATCTTCCTCTCAAGGGATGCAAGTCCAAACCTTGAAGTGCTTACGCGTGGAGATCGCTTGATGATGCTGTTATCTTTTTTCTTAATTTCTGAACAGCTCGACCCTCATTTGATTTCTCCACATCTATTATCTATACAATCATGTATATATATATATATATATATATATATATATATATATATATATATATATATATATATATGTATATATATATGTCGGCAAGTCAATATGTGCGAGCATATGGAGGCTAAATTTTTATATCTCTCAAGCCTCGGAAAGATCACGGATGATATGAACCGAATTACTCGAACTGAAGGAGCAATATTCCCAACAACCCAACCATTTCCAGATCCCAGAAGCTGGCGGAAAAGGTCCTTAAGTCGGTGTAAGCTCACCATGCATATGCACTTTTTGTAAAGATGGAGCATATGAATCCATGTTCTGTACTGTAGAAGCAGTAAGCTTCCGACCCGACAGTCTTCACCCCTGTCGATGACAGTAAGAATCCAAAGTCTCCGAGAACCAATTGTTGTGTTCTGCTTCGCTGAAGATGCAAGTGCAAACCTTTGGGTTATCTCGAACTGCTTCTGTACCAGTAAGGGCTATGCTGACAGGGCATTTCCGCCCATGTGTATCGGCCTACTGTGATCATTCAAGTCATCCTACTCCCACTCGCGAGCGCGACCGAAATAGAGTAACGCATTGGAGAAGAAAGTTACAGAATTAGGGTAACTGCACGAGAGAAACGATTCGATCGACCATTAGCGGGTGTACACATGAGATATTTTTTTAGGTTCAGTTTCAAATATCAGACCTTATGTATATTTTTGTCCAATTTCGTGTGCAGCACTCCCGCTTCGGAATGATGGCATTAAAGGCCGAGGAATATCTGCGGAGTGCATCCAGGTACGGATCTGCGGGAAACCTCAAGCTCCCGACCGCATCTCTGTCACATCTAAGCCATGCGCTGATCTCGTAGATCACTTTCCACATGTTTTTTCTTCGCCACTTCTTCAGTTTCAAAAAATCGAGAAAAATCCGTCGATCCGAGCATTGCTGTTCAACTGTGCGCAAATCCAACAGTAACATTTGGCATAGCAAAGCTTATGAAGAAGGAACAAAAGTTCTGAAGGTACTGCTTGTACACCGATTCTCCTCACACAAGTCTCGATAAGGTTCACGTACACCCATCAAGCGGGTCAGAGAAGACAAGCAAACAAGAGGTTCCTTGTTCTACTGTGATTTACTATTGGGGCCTAGCCCCATCCTATCCCTTTGGTTTCATCCCTGTAGGGCTCGATGGGGTCTTCTTGCCATGCTTCGAACTATACGACTTGGCATCACGAGCTAGAATTGTGCGCTGTTCGAAAGACATGTACATTGGACCTCTGCTCGCAGGTCGATCAAGGCTAACCTGTAGCAGCAGGTTATCGAAGTGTGTGGGACCTGCTACTCCGGGTCAAAGTGGGTACATGAGCGTCTTTGTCCTACGTCAGAAATGGAGCCTGTGTTATCACGAAGCGAAAGTCTTCGGCGAAACGTGAATTGGCACCAGGGAGTCCATCCAGCTCGTACGAGCAGTGACCCTCCGAGTCCCGACCCGACAGTCCTCACTGCTGGCGATGACAGTAAGAATCCAAAGGCTCGGAGACTCCGTTGCTGTGTTGTGCTGTGCTTCGCTGAAGAGGCAAGCGCAAGTGTTCCCCCACCGGAAGTGTTCTCTACCAGTCAGGGCAAGCGCCTCTCGCGAGTAAGACTTAGCTTGTCTTGTTCCCTTCCCTCTTACGTTTAACCAGAACGCAGACTTGAACACAGCGTAACGTGGAGTAAGTAATACTTACTCCACGTAAGTATACTTACTAAGTATACTTACGACATGCGACCATTCAATTTCGTACTCACATTTCAGACCAGATTCAGAATTTACTACGCTGTGAGTGAAACTCGTTATGATTCACTTTTGATTGTCAAATGACTTTAGCCCGCATGACGATTAATTACTGGCAGTCGGTCCTCGAATGAAATAATACATCGTATCACCTCACTGCTCTCCTCTAAATTCCAGTGGTTAGAAAATCTGGTTCTAACCCAGTCGTAGGGATGCCAGGCCTCACCTACAAGTCGTCGATCTAGCATCTTGTGACGTAATTCGTCAAACCACTGTATCATTCGCGAGCTCGGCCCATCTTTTTGACTGGACGCAGTTGACTGTTGTATGCTCAAAAAGCTTCGGAGATCATTGAGTGTAGTCATTGTTGGACTTTCTTCATTCGTCCACATGTATGAAATGGTCGATTCATGGCCCGTTTTCTCGCGACTTACCAGTACTCCATCATGTCCAAGTGTGGGATAAATACCGCAAAGTTCCGCCTCAAGAATACGTACGTCTGACGCATATTTCTTTAGTAGTCTCTCTGGATACGTGGCGATTTGCGACAAACACCGGCTACTCCCGTCTCATGAGTCTGCTCCACGTTTTCTAGGCTGATGGTACTCACACAGATCTTGCCGTCAATTATGTCTTGGGTTTTGTAACCCTCCCCTGGCGATCCACGGTGCTCGCAAAAGACTACCACCTTACAGGAAGGGAATGTTGTGTTAGTAGACAGTTTGAGAATACGAATACATACAATTATTGTTCCTTGTTCCTCAAAGGCGATGAGTTTAGTAAGTAATAAAAGTATCCATCAAAGAGCAGATCATCAGAAAATCCATGCTATAACTCAGATATGTTCGGTGAAGAAGTCCACGCATTACACAGAAAGCTACCAAAAATTCAAAAATGTTAGCATTTTTTTATTAATCCAAATCATATTAACCA